ACTACTACTACTACTACTACTACTACTACTACTACTACTACTACTACTACTACTACTACTACTACTACTACAAGTACTATTTAAGAGACATACTATGGACATCTGTGGACTGTGTAATTCGGGCACTGTAGTGATATAACTGGTACTTTTTTTGCAAAGCGCTCCGCAGAATGAAAGGCTGGGCCAAGCGGCAACAACCACCGCCAGCACCACCTCGCCAGCGAAGGCGAGTTATGGGAGCGAGTTGTGTTGGTCAAAAGGTGGCAGTGACAAGACGTGATCCCCAGGTTTAAGTACCAGTAGAAGGCTTCTGAAGAGCGAATCCCCCTAAACACCCATATGATTTGGTGTTTGATTTGGTCCTGATTGAACATGGTTTCACTATGTTTCAGGGCGATTTGCTCCTAAAAAGCATACGAAGGATAGCGAGAGCAAACCTGGTCTCTCTGTCTGTCTGTCGCATCCAGTCGATTGTCGCCTGGTCCGGTCGACAGGTCCTTCGTACGGTCTTCTCATGGTCTCGACGGTCCAGCGGCTCCATTTCTTTGGTGAAGATCTTTGGAAGAAAACACACCTACTACAGTGGTTTCAGAGTAGATGGCACAAACCTGAAGATGTCTTTTTGATAGGGATCCATATAAGCCACCTTTTGGGGATTGTACCATCTATTCTGAAACCCCTACTATACCCTACTGCCAAGGACACCAACAGTTGTAATTGAACTTGCCCCTTTCCAAAAACAAAGCATCCAAAAAGCAACCTTGTTGAAATTGCACAAAGAACCTTGGCATGTTTCTACGTACTGCAGGTGGGCCATTCCCTGTTGTTTCTATTTTCACGCCATGAAACAATGAGTTGCTTTGACAAAAACCTTATCCTCTTTCCCATATGTCACATCCTGTCACATCAATATCAAAGTCCTTCGTAGATCGGCTGCCAATAATGGTTCTCTTTACGTGGAGAGTCGCTAGATGGCGAGGACCCACGGTATAGATCACGTCCCAGTCGCCTGCGGCCGCAGCGCCGCCACCACCACCACCAACGCAGAAAGCGGCCATGGCTGTGATGGCAAACCGCGCGAAAAAGGGGCACGAGATCGCTGAGAAGTTGAGACACTTGAGCCCGAAGTGGGTGGGCGTGGTGGGGCGTGGCGTGCGGAAGAAGGGCGTCCGGTCCAATGAATGCTGTGGTGTGAATCCAGGAGACCTCTTGAGGCGCAAACACACCTGCAGCAATTGCTCTGCAATGTCAAGGGGGATCCAAAAGCAACATGAACCGGACAGTCTATGCCGGAACCATCCAGAACCTAACTGTGGCTGTTCACCCTCCTGCAGTTTGGAGTTTGCAGTGACCCACACCCACATTTTGTATGACCCAGGTCCAAGCACCCAAGATTTGTGATCTTTTGGTGCCACATAATTTTCCCCACCAGTCAGGCGCATTTCATGAACCATCTGACCAGCCTCTTTAGAGCTCTGCATGGATCGTTAAACGTGCACGGCTGGATCGAAAAAGGTCTATTTAGCTTGCAACGCTCATGTTTTCTCCACAGTCATTCCAACAAAAATGGATGAACATGGTCTGACATCACCACCAAGAAGACCACCGAATTCCCTTTTTTGATGAATTGATTGTTATACCATGGTCTTGGCTTTGCCCCCCCGAAGCGCCGAGCCGGCCGGCTCGCCGGCGGCCTCTGGCCGCTGAGCTCCGAGGCCTTGGCGCACAGCGCCTCCGTCTTGGCGCTGTCCAGGCCTGGAGACCAGCTGTAGACTTCCTTTTTTGTTTAAACCATCCCTTTTTGGTTACTGCTAAGCTGTACGGTCTAGCTGGTAGCCTATGGCATCCCATAATTCCATCCCATATGAATTGGAAAACCTCTTCAGGCCTGGGGGGTTCTTCATCAAGAGTCTACATACTCGTCAGCTATAGCCAAGCTACAGGGCGTGGTTGGGGCACAGCTTGCGACATCATGACATAGCATCATAGCTTCCAAAAAGGAAACAACAAGAAGCGATGTTCATTCGCTGCAATCGGAGATAGGTAGGTCTTAATGTTACTTAATGCGAGTGCATCCACTCCCACCCAAGGGAGTGGACTCCTACAGTTGACCCTCACCAGTAGGACAAGCAGACCCCTGTATGAGGCTCAGGGGATGTCAGCGCTTCAGGGCTCTCCAAAGCAACTGGATTTTGAAGCTACAGCAAACCGAACCCCATAAAGTGAACCAGGATGTAAAACTACTCTTCGACTTCAGAGCTTGCGCGCGGGTAGTCATCCGAACACACTACGCCTCCTGCTTCAGGAATTGATGCATCACAAGAAAGCGTACTTGGTTTGTGAGAATAGAGAGTAGCAAAAAGATGCAAAAAGTGTCTGCCGTCTCAATCAAAATACATGAGAGTCCACATACCATAGCAGTTTACACAAACGGACACCTACCAGCAGAAGATACCGCAGCGACTCCCATGTCCTGCCTACCACGCTGACCATGCCCGACGCTGCCGCGTCGGCGGCTGCTTGCATGGCCTCGCCTGCCACAGGATTGGTCGTGAACAGCGCATGGCCAGCCGTTGTCTTGCTACATGTTTTCAAGTTTGGGTCTGTTGTAGTCTCAGACTTCATTGCAAAACACTCCGTTAAAACTGGTGATCTTTTTTGAGGTTACCTAATATTTTTGTTGGTTGACTTGAGCAATGTTGAGCACATATATACTATAGCTGCATTAACAAAATCTGCAGGAATCTACCTTGAAGCTCAACTTGGAGAAGTCAGTGTCCGCTCACCGACCAATACTCGGCAAAGGTTAGCACCTCCGTAGCATTGTCATCGTTGGTCAATGTTGGTCAGTTTGAAGGCATCCGAGCTCTTTCTTTGTGTCACTGAAAGTCTTGAAGAATCTATGAATGAACCAAAACAAAAATTTTCATCCTGCCCCTTCAGGTGCTCCACCTTCCCAGGTTAACCCACCAAACAAAAAACACCAAACCTCCGGAGGTATAGTGAACGGTCGAACACTCGGTCGAACACTGGACAGTGAAGTGGTTGCTCCATCTTGGTGCCTCTAACCTTGGTGACTTTCACGCCATCTTCAAAACCTCAGAACAATCGGATCGAAGCCAGCAGGAGTTAAGAAAAGCAAACAAACACTCTTGCAAACACGACCGGAAGAACATCTGCACGGTACTCTCTGCAGTCCATCTTTTCAAAGACCTTCGGTGTTTTATAATTAGGCTATATATTGATTGTTTATAGCTTTGTCAATATTGATCTTGCTGCTTCAAACGCATCGTCAAGGGGCATGAAAGCGAGGACGAATAGGACCGGATCAAAGATGATCAAAAAAAAGGAATCGAAACAACAACAGCCAGCACACGGAAAGGGTAGTTTATCTATGGACACCCCTGACTATGTATTTTCCATCCAATACAAGTAGCAACCCCGTCCGTGGTGCGGGAGCAAAAAGCAATGGTCGAATCTTGTGCGAACGTGTCTCTGTAGAATCCTACCCAGAACATCCGGCTCTGCAGGCTTAGGCCAAAGAATGATGCATGCCATTGACTCCGGCTGTGGAATGGATTGTACAAGTACATAAGACTGACAGTCCCATCTTCAGGGGCAGCTGCTAGAAAGCTCACCTCCAGGAAAGCTCAAGCCTTTTGGAGGTTCGAAAAGGTTGATTCGGTGGCCATGAGAAGATTCTAGCCGCTAGCCGCTGAGACCTGTTGTTTCCGCATACGTGGGCTTTCATTGAGATGTGGTCATTATGTACTTCATTGCTGTGAGGTCTTGTTACTGTACTTGTTCCCTCTCCTAAGGTACAGCAATTGACCAGACCCCGACATGTGGAAACCCGAACATCATCAACCGCCACTTGCTGTGGGTCAACCCAACCCTATGAACCATGAAATAATTCGTGACATTGGTCGATCAGCAGCTTCAGGGTTAACCCCTGCTAGAGCTTCGCAAGCTCAACCGGCCCTCAGGTTTTCTCTGCGAATGTTTGGCTATTGAAAAGCCATGTCTTTTGCGGATCTGAAATGATCCAGCGCAAAGAGGGACGGGTGGGGTCATACAGGATATCAGATAGCTGGTAGCGTTTGCTTGTCACTAGCAGCTACCATGAAAAGCTCTATACAAGGCTGGAGTCCTGAAGCAGAACTCTCCCTGCCAATGGCTGAAGAGTTGATCCTGGGTGACTGCCCCTGCCAACCCCCATGCGCTTGGACATCAGTACTAAACCGCTGAACCACCCGAGCAAACAAGACAGCCTGGGCCAAGGAGTGTGAACAGTTGTAAGGATAGGAAAGCAACAAGAGTCATAAAGCGCGAAACAGCAACTTGCATGTAGATAGACTAGATTGACATAGATTGACCAATGCATGTCCCAACATACTCGTCTTTGATTCTTGCAGTAGATACTAAACCCTTTCAAGCAGAATGAATATGTTTTCGGCACCCTCTTGTCTACGTACTCGTTTTATCTGTCAGTATGAGCTGGCAGTTTCTGGGCACACGATTTCTACTCCCTCTGATTATTTGACCCCTGCTGACTCAGCTGACCAATCGGTCAGAAGAATGGAATGTAGCTGGCAACCCACACCGTCGAGAGAATTCAAAACATTTAGACTCCCTGAAAAGAAATAACAGGATGAAAACCCTGTCCAGAAGTTCTCTCATTTTGAAACGCACCTACTGTACTAGGAGTATGCTGACAATGAATGTCTTACAATCGTGCTAACCCAGTAGAGAACCAATTCAATTGAATTTCACCATTCTGACATTTTTGTCACGATGTATTTCAAACATGTGCTAGGGGGAAAACAACATGAAAACAACATCTGCTTGCTCGGTTGCCTCTGAGCCTTCGCCGGTCGCAGGGCTTTGCTGCGACGGCTCAGAGCTCCGCTTCACGGCCATCGGCCTGGAGGGACGTGGTGATGACGTGCACTGTGTGTTCCTTTGTGTGTGTTACATCGCACTTCTTCCAGTTGTATTTGTTTCTGTGCAACATCCAAATCTACTGTAAATCTGTAAATAATGACCGTCAAGTCGGAAGAAGAACACTTGTCCGCGGGAAATTTAAGTGAAAGAAACTTGCGTGTTGAGTTGCAAAGTGTTGTGAATGAAGAACAACTATCATGAAAAAACTCTTGGCTGAACTTTTGGGCGACTGCAAAGCACTTATCATCAGACCTTCAAGAACACGTGTCCGATCTTTTTTACCAAACTCCTCTAACAAAAATTACTTTACTTCGAGTGATCCCCACCATGACATTTCAATCATTTGTCTTGATGCCATAGTGAGGAGCATGTTGCCATAGTCGTTAGTATTGTAGTTCTCGATGTTGCTTGTGGGTCCTCGGGTTGTGTGCTGTGGTTGTGTGCTGTGTTGTGGTTGTGGTTGTGTTTGTGGTTGTGTGTTTGTGGTTGTGTGTTTGTGGTTGTGTCTTTGTGGTTGTGTGTTTGTGGTTGTGTGTTTGTGGTTGTGTTTGTGGTTGTGGTAGTGGTTGTGATTGTGTGTTTGTAGTTGTGGTTGTGGTTGCGGTTGTGTCTTTGTGATTGTGTGTTTGTAGTTGTGGTTGTGGTTGTGTCTTTGTGATTGTGTGTTTGTAGTTGTGTTTGTGGTTGTGTGTTTGTGGTTGTGTTTGTGGTAGTGGTAGTGGTTGTGATTATGTGTTTGTAGTTGTGGTTGTGGTTGTGTCTTTGTGATTATGTGTTTGTAGTTGTGGTTGTGGTTGTGGATGTGTCTTTGTGATTGTGTGTTTGTACTTGTGGTTGTGGTTGTGTGTTTGTGGTTGTGTTTGTGGATGTGTTTGTGGTTGTGTTTGTGGTTGTGTGTTTGTGGTTGTGTGTTTGTGTGTTTGTGGTTGTGTGTTTGTGGTTGTTTTTACCACACTCCTCTAACAAAAATTAACGTTTCGCTGTAGTGAAACACATGACACAAGCACTTTCATGGAAAAACGTGGGAAATTTGATGCACCTGCAAAGACACTTCAAAAACAAATCTACTGTAAATATTGTGCATATATAAATAAAACACGCACAAACAGTTGCAGGGCGGCGCGTCAGTCGCGAGCCTAGTTCCACTAGAGATGCACGGTTGATTCAGAACAATTGAAGAATGGAAGCGTGCACCAGACTACACTCAATACCTTGTACAGGAACTCACTCAAGATCCAAGTCTGGTCAATTGGTCATTCATTGATGAACGAAGTTATGTACTTGGACAACCTTTGTGCGTGCAAAACAATTGCATACTGGTTGGTGGTTTCAACAACTCACTTGAACAATATCCATCAGTGTAGGCATTTCTGACCAATTGGTGTGGTGGCAGAATTGACGATGGTTCACACGGATTTGAGAATTTTGGACAAGTGAGTATCGTGCAAGGACACTACAATGGGGCTCCTGGCCTTACTACTAGGAACAAAAGGCTACTAGGGGCTCCTGGCATCGCTACGAACGGAGCAAGGACACTACTAAGCATTTGATGAGCTGCACACATTCACCAGAATTCGCAAGCCCGATTATGTTACACGTCACATGGTGTGGAGTCGAAATGAACCTGCACCTAGCTTGGCTAGGTGTAACAGATGGGATCGCTCTGCAAGATGAACTTCACACAGGAAGGGAATCGATCAACATCCAAAGCACTGTTAGACTTCAACCTCTTAAGTCCTAAGCCACAACCCTTCCTTGCATACACAGTGCATATTAAACACAACGCGCACAACACACACTCTGACATTGGTTTTCAGTTAGCTCAGTTCCCAAGATGAGAAGGAAGGTGAGGGAAACGTAAGGTGACAAGGTCAGCGCAACTGAAATGTTGAACAAATGTTGAACTCAGTGATCGAAATCTCGCGCGGCCGGCTGCAACTCACGAGCGGCTGCGAACTGCGGTGGGAAACCTGTTTGTGGGGAAAGTATCGTGAGCAACCACCATGCAACCAAACCGAGAGTGGAACAGCTTGATCAAAAGTTGAGCGCAGGTACGTCGGCAAGCGTCCTTGCCGATATCAGCACAACCTGAAGAGCCTCTTTGTTAGATGCCCTCTCTTCAGGTGTGGGGCATCCCCCTGCGTGGAAACGTGTGACGTGGAGTAGACCCTTAGGGACAGGGTGTGACACACACACACACACACACGAACACATGAGGCTTGAATCAACTTTTGGCCTCAGACCTCTCATGCTCGCGTCACGTGACGTGCTCAAAGGCGCAGGAAAAGAAGGCGCACCTCGTGCTCGCCAAGGGCGCGTATAATGATGCCCTTCAAAGGTAAATGCACACCTGGCCGCATCGCCGCCGCCGTCGCCCCGAAAGTCGCTGGCCGATTCATGCCGATTCTCGTTGGTAAGGCACGTCGATGAAATAGGTTGAGTTGTGGTGCTTGTGTGACATGGCAATCATCTGGTCCAAAGAGGTCCAAGTCGGTGGTCCAAGTCACATGCGGTTCGAACAAGATTGGATGAGCGGAAGGCCAACACCAGCAACCCCCATTCAAAGGGACACCTGGACCGCCTATTAGTCTCAGTTCAACCCATTCGCCTCATTCCTGCTAGCTCCAAGAGCTTCAAAAAAAACAGGAATGTAAACAAATGGTAAGTCCCTCTAGTCACTCAATATCCAAGCTGGTTGAAGCTTGCACTCATCTTCAATCCGTCCAAATCCCGAGACTGCAGTCGTCCGTCTCACATCATCGCTCTCACCGCTCGGGCCCGCCGCGTCGCCTGATTCTTCGATCGAATGCCAGGCCTCTGACAGCTCCTCAGCGGGGACGGAACCGATCGACGGAACCGGACGGAGGACGGAACCGGACGGAGCCCCCGTCGAAGCGGACGAGAGGGGAGACAGGACCCGCTTTCTGGGACGTGAAACAATGTGCGTTGGCCAGTCGACTGCATCGTTGGATGGAACGAAAGACATGTGTTGGGCCTCGCCATGAACTGCTTGGACCCGAAAGATGCATGGTGTATGAACTTGAGGGTTCGAAACCATGAACAACTTGAGTATGTCAATCTAAGAATCAGTTAGTTAGGAATATTAAGGTTTACCTTGGGTGAGGGCATCTAGCAAAGTTTTCTGTTTGTTCGC